TTCTCTAATCGTCATCCAGGTCTGGCTCCATCGAGTTCTCCAAGCGATGCATCTGTTCTTCTCGGTCGGGTTGTAGGAATCGCCTTCTTGTCGTTCACCATTCTCTTCTTGTTCATCGATCATCACCAGTGTCGCCCAATCGATTCACAGGTAACGATTTCATATTTCTAGGGCTTTATACAAACTTCACTCCCTATCTTATGGTTTTGTATTATTTCTTATGTAGTTAACAAACAGCCCCTCGGTCTCACCCTTCTTCTTATGTGGTTCTGTATTATATGCATTTTTGTTGTATTACACACATCTTATATGCATTTTTGTTGTATTACACACAACATATAGGAGCTTCAGCTTTTAGACAGAGTTGGCTATGAGACCCACTTTCATACATGATCATGATATTAGTTCCAAACATATGATGGTGGGTGGGGTAGGAAACCTTATTGGGTGGATGCAAATGCAAGTGCAAGGTTACTTCATTGATGATCTTCAAAAGATGTTAACCTTGAGCATATTTTCCTGATATAGATAGACCTGATACCAGTTTATATATTTTCTTAAATCTTGATTTTGGAAAAGCTCAACAAAGCGACTTTCATTGCTCACACTCGAGAGGCATGCTTGGTTTTACTTTGTCAATCTCTAGACCCATCTAGTTAAAGCTCTATCAATGCTATATTATGCTTAAGCATGATCTTCAAGTAACAACCCTTCCATTCGAACCATATATGACCACCATAAGCTTATATCCCCAGTAGCATAGACTTTAGACTACATGGCCTGTAAGTGAGCTTGAAGGATTGGTTGCTAGAATAAGATCAAATATATTTTTTTTTGGAATTTACCAAGTGAACTTGTTGCCACTAATTGGTCTCATTAGGATGTAGAAAACTTGCATACTTGGAGCTTTGGGAAGTGGTAGAATAGTTGCACTTATGTTGGAAGGGTTTGGAATTTAGTTCATATTAACGACTTTTTATGCAACAATTTACCCGGTAAGAGCTGACCGTGGTAAGAGTCATTGCATTCACTTACCGGGTAAGACTCTCAGTCCTTGCTTTGTTGTTACCGGGTAAGATTTTTGGTCCTTACCATATTCATCCTATAAGGTAATATAACTTGGTAAGCGCTTACCCAAATAAGCATTTGGTAAACGGCCCCTTAGTCCTATAAATCCTCCAACACATGCATTACATTTCCACCATATTCAATCACTTATTCCTCTCTTCCTCTCCCCCCTCTACACTCATATTCCATATACCCAATAAATCTACATCACAGTTATGGCAACAAGGCTTCTCTTTGTTCCAGTACTCAAATCCCACCCTAAGACCAACCCATCGCCACACTGCACTCAATTTTCTGCTGTTGCAATATCCAAATTTCTGCATATCGCAAGTGCTGTTGCAATATCCAAATTTCTGCATATCGCAAGTTGTGTTTCATGTGATGTTTTGTTATGCCAAAACTTGAACAAACATTGTCATACTTGTTTGGATTGATATAATATTATGTATTGGCTTGGACCATTAATTATTTTCTATTTTTCATTTAGAAATTTCCTTTAGAACTRTTGTCAAACGTTAATTTTCATTAAACACAAGACTGAGGGTAAAATGGTAATTTTATATCATTCAGACTGTTCATTCAGAACAGTTTCCAAACAATCTTTTTCTATCTGACACTAAATCATACAGAGTCTCTTAATCATCCTGACCACTTAATCATCATGCACTAAACCAATCAGCAACCGCCAAACAGCCCCTTAGCCTACTATATAGCAAGAACAAGTAAAACATCTATTCTAGCTCCATAATAAAGAAGTGAAAAATAAGGGAATAAAGTGATTCAATATTGGGATATAAATGGAAAATGTCTTATCTAAAAGAGAATAAAAGAGTGTTTAAACACTAAATAATTAGTGCATATCACAGCCCTATGTTAAACCTTATGTGTCTTTCACGAAGGGGATTTTCATCTTTTATTGTTTTTGAACGTACATACTTCTGAACCAAATGTACAAGTGTGATTATGAGCACTTCCCAACAAAAAAAACTAAAGCTTAGTTCATCTTCTCCCTTTTTTCTTCTCCGACACCGTCCCCTTTCTCCTAGCCACCCTTCTCTCACATCCTCGTTGTCTTATGGAACTCCAACAAAACACCCCTCTCTCTACCACGTAATGTTCCGTTATGCCAAATACTCATAAAAACTAGTACATTTGGCTGAATAATTTATACATTTAAAAATAGTAGGAAAACGACCAAACCAACCTCTCATAAAAGGTTTAATGAAGCTATGGTTAACGAAGCTAACCAAATGACCATGGTTGTAAAGAAATGAATTCGACTAGGACCAAATTCATAATAAAAATAATTCACGAAGTATACTCATAATTGTCAACAAAACACGAGGACCAAATCCATAAATTCATCTATTATATAGTTATCCACTACATCAATATATAAACAAACTTTCAGATATAACCAATTATTTTTTTATTCCGATAAATATGTCATAGTTATCGTTTTAATTTTTTTTGTATACATTGATTTATACAGAGTAGTTACAAACATAACACTTTTTTTAGTCTTTTAAAAGTATTTAATCAAATTTAATTAATCATTTATTTGTTGGCAACAATTCAAATATATTTCTGATGTTGGTGTGGGTTGTTACAAGTTTTTTCAGTTTTATCTTATGAATGAGTATTTTAAATAATTTATTTTACAACAAATTATTTTATTTTAAATTTTTAAAAGAATTTTATTTTGTATATTTAATTTTCAGAATAAAAAATGACAAGTAGTAGGTTCATATCCTTTTTATTACAACCACATTTGAAAGGAACGTCTTGGCATTGTGGTCGGGTGATATAATTATTTTTTTGGTTTATATTATAAAAAATTTATAAAAACATGATAAAATAATTTGAGTATTTTGATGTATAATATTTTTTATATCCAATAGGCATGGAATAGGTCCCAACTTGTCGGGAAACCCGGTTTACCCGTCCCGATTGGGGACGGGGATCCCCATTTGTCTCAAACTGGGGATGGAGACAGGGCGGTGAGTATACATTATATCTATTAATTAATAAATTATATATATATATATATATATTTATACACACACACACACACATATATATATATATATATATAATTTATTTCAATTAAAATGGTCATTCATAATAACCTATTTTTCTAACTAGGTTTATAATCTAAAATTGTTATTTTTTTAGATGTTAAAATGTAATATTTTGGATGTCAAGTCAAAATACAATACTTGATAAGTTTTGTATATTACTCTATATGGTTTTATATTACTTAATATCATTTGGTACATGTAACTTTAAGTTTTTTTAGATTAAAATGAATTTTTTTTTGGTTTTAGGTTATTAATTCTTATATGATGTTTGTGGTTTTTTTTTTGTATTAAATTAAATTCATTTTGGTTTTAGGTTTATTGAAAATGTTTGTGATTTAAACATGTATGGTGTCTCACATATTTAATTTAAAATAACTTACATAAACGGGAAAAAAAATCTTCGTTTCCCCGTTTGGAATGAGAACGGGGATATGATTATATTCCCCGACAGGGATTGGGACGGAGATAGATATAAGTAATTGGGGACAGGGACGGGAATTAACATCTTTACCAATTAGATCTAGATGTACTAAAATCATCAAGCATTCATATAACATGTTGATATGTGTTGTACAATTTATCCTTACCTATACAAGTGGATAATGGACTGTGGAGGTGTGGGTGGGTTACTAAGATTGTTAGAATGAATTCAATCAAACTTTGTATATGTATCATATTATAATTTAGCAAAACCGAAATAAGACAATTGAAATTTTAAAAATCAAAATATGTTATATAATTGATCAAACTTTAATTAATAAATAGTTTAAAAATAAGTTACGACATTACCATGGGACACAACTTTTAATGTCATAATCAATCAAGTTTAAATAGTTGGTACAATACTATCAACCAATTAGATTGATACCAATTAAATTGATACCATTGATACAAAAAATGGTTGGTTTATTTAGATAGAAAATTAAACCCCCCCCCCCCCTCTAATTATATTTAAGTGATAAAATATATAATTTTAAAACTATAAAACCTTAAATGAGGCTTTTGAAATATAAATTCATAAGAGAAATATACAAATAAAAAATGGATTTAATATATAAATATGAATTAACAAAAAAGAAAAGGAAAGTCATGAACTAACCTTTCTAATGACCTTTCCTTAAATGGACTAAATATTTAATTATTATGTCAATCAAAATCAAATAAGTAGATACACATGTTAATAATCATACATCACTCATCATTATCCTCTAACTCTTTTCAATTATTCTTTATTATTTTATTATATTTCCTTTTTCTTCAAATAATATTAATTTAATTTAATGTTCTTTTAAGTCATTTTTTTATTTATAATTATTGCAAATATTTTAAAAAATCTATTTACGTGATAATAATGCACATATATGAGTAACTATTTTTTTCAATTGTTTATTAAAATGATTATTATGATTTGAAAAACTTGAAATAAAATAGTATTAAGTTATAGAAATTGATTTAAGGAACTGTTTGGTTATAAAAATCTTATATGAATGAAGTTGTTTGTATATATTAATCTGTCTGTATAAATTGTAAATGTTTTGTTTTAAAAGAGTTTTTTTTATAGATGAAATGAACATGTTTTTTTAATTTGAGATAGATAAATTTAAAAAAAAAAATTAATGAGTAAGACATTTTTTATATAATTAAGACAATATCAAACGATCATGTATGATTGACCAAATAAGTTGTTAGGTGATAAATAAAAGATTGGGGGGTAATAATGGTAAATATTAAAAATGAAGGGTAGTTAAGTGTAAAAAGGTTAATTTTGGTAAATCGTACGGCTGAGAACAAGTTTCAAAAATTGTGATTATTTAAAAAGGCGGTCGACAAGAAAACGCTTGACACTCCGAGAATCCTCACTCAGAAGTCACTTCTTTTCAACTCCCGAGGTCTACCTTGCTAACGTACACTGGTGGTGGGTACAGTACGCACCCAACAACCCTCCACTGTCAAAGGAGATCACACGCAGCTTTATACTTTGCAATCTCTCTGTATCTCTAGCTGATTTGGCACTTACGTTTGGTTCAACCAAATATAGGGTTTCCAGGAGTTGAAATGGATTTGATTTTGTTATCGTTTTAATTATTTGGATGGATCCGCCGGTGATGATGAATGGAGGTGGTTTTCGGTCAGGTAATACGGGCTCTTCGTTGTGTAATTTGACTGAGATCTGGCCCTTTCCGATAAATCTTGCCGGTGGCGGTGGAGGCGGCAATGCGGCGTCGTATGGTATGGGGCAATTAGGGGATCATGCTGGTAGTACTAGTGCGTTTGTGGATAATCGTGATCATGTGGCGATGGATGATCCGATGGTTGTGGACCAGAGAGGGAATAGTAATCAGAGTAAGAAGCGACGTGAAGATGATGATTCGTCTAAAGGTGTTTCGACTAGCAGTCGTAGCAATGGCAATGGCATGGTAATCAATTAACAGTCGCCTTTTGATTTGATTTTTAATATTGCAATAAATTATGTGATGTTCATCTCTGTATGTGTTAAAATATGTAGCATCTGTGGCTGTGGATATGTTATTGATATCTAATATTCTTCCCTATTTTCAATTGATTTTGATTCAGATGATTTTGCAGATTAAAGAGCCTCTCGTGACTTTATAGTCAAATTTAGATGACACGGATAGGAATTTATTCAAATTTGAAATTAAAGCATTATTATAGTGAACAATATGTAAGCACTTTTGGTTTTACTAAATTGTAAACACTTTTCTCAGTTTTCTATCCAAAATTCGTGAAAGTCACCAACCTTTGCTGTTTGTATTCATTAAATTCATATCCTAGAAACGTTTACAGCTCAGTTCCTGCTGTACTTTTTGAATTCGGTTTCTATTTGTTAATTTCATGACGTTTGGAGTTGATGCTAGACTGCTAGTACTGGGATATGTCGATTATAATTGGTAATTTTGAAGTGGGTTCTTGGTTCTTATGAGAAATTCTAATCAGCTTGATAGTGATGGTAAACGTTTGAAGACTTTGGCACTTGAAAGTGAAAACTCAGAATCTAAACCGGAAGTTGAAAGAAGTTCTGGCAAGAGAGCAGAAAATAATGCAAAACCGTCTGAGCCACCTAAACAAGATTACATTCATGTTCGAGCACGAAGAGGTCAAGCCACTGATAGCCACAGTTTAGCAGAAAGAGTAAGTTGCTTTCTAAGCTTTTCCGAACGTAGAATTTCTTTCTTTCTTTCTTTATATCCTGTTATAAAGGTCTAATTTCACGTGGAAGCTTGCTGATTATTGATTCTTGTTCCTCGAACTTTAAGTCTGAGTAGTGAAATAATATCGAGTATTGAAGGCATAGTTCAATATATAGCATTCTTTTTGCCGAATATTGATCTATTCAATGGACAGGCTAGAAGAGAGAAGATAAGTGAAAGAATGAAAATTCTCCAAGATCTGGTCCCTGGCTGTAATAAGGTCTGATTTGTCGGTTCTTAATTGCTTTGTTTTTGTATCTTTAATTTAATTTTATTGTAGTTAGTTAGCAATAGCATGAGAGGCTTTCAAACAAGTCGAACCTGTTGAATTGCTCTTTGTGAATATTTATATGCTCTTGTTTGATTCAAAATTCATGTAGCACGCCCTTCTTACATTAACCAAGTGTTGGTTCAAATGAATATACATACTAGTTTTTATAGCAACAAGGCTAATGCACAAACTGTACCCTGCATAATTTTGTGCCAAGTTCTGAGCAAGCCATGGTGAGAAACATCAGTAACTGAAAGCTTTGTCTGGGTACTTTAGAGACTATTTGCAGAGAAATAAATTGGTATAACCTTAGCCCAAGATTTCATGTATCGGTCATCAGCACTACTTGCTGACACATGTCAAAATTTAATCCTTTGTCGCTGTTGTACAGTGATTAAATTTATGGAACTAGTGGTTGTGTTTAAAATTGTCAAGATTTGGATGTGTATCTTGTTCAAATGCTTCAAGTTCTTCAGTCAAGTATCCCTGCTGCCAAAATCTTCCAAAAAGCCCTGATAAAAGAGACATATACATAAACCCTTCAGGCTGTCCCATGTAGAACTATCCATTTTGAATAGTTCCACGGTCAAATATATTAAAACTTTTAATGGTGGCAGACAATGAATGTGTGATGGGAAACCTTCAAGTTATACTAAAATCTATTTAAAAAATTTCTGGACTTTAACAATTGATGGAAGAGGGGATCTAAGCGAACACGAGCGAATACATGTCAAAGTGAGAAGCCCTGGGATGCCTAGCAGTCAATTCTTTTGGGATGTGTGTCATATGTGACATGAGCTCCCAAGTTTGATTTTCTGCTTGGTGCTATCAGTTCCTTTGAATCACCCCATTGGTCAGAAGCCTAAAATGTGTCCAATTATATGGTAGAAGCGTTTTGCATGAAACCAACTATTTGGGTCACGTCTAAGGTGCCAAATACCACAGTTCCAGAAAAGAAGTGAGAACCTCGGGGATTATTGAATGATACCTGTGATATCATTATTTTTGGATGTTCTGCATCTTAGAAAATGTAGGTAAAGATGAAGCTAAAAGAGACAACCTTACTCAAAGGTGACATAAAAATTGGCTAGAAACTTTTCTCCTGTTTAAAAATTAGAAAAGCAAATGCGCTGTAACTTAACTTCTGTACGGAAGTAATGGAAAACTATGTTCTAACTTGTGCCTGTTCACTTCAGCATGAAGCATATCTTATATAAGTCTATAAAAGGATCAATTATGTGATCTCAGGTTATTGGGAAAGCACTGGTCCTCGATGAGATAATTAATTACATCCAATCACTACAGCAACAGGTTGAGGTACGCATACTTTCCTGTTCAGTTGTTGCATCACAACTTAATTTGCCATTGGACATTATAACAAACTTGCACTAATCAACTCGAGTGTCACAGTTCTTATCAATGAAGCTTGAAGCTGTCACTTCAAGATCGCATCCAAGCCCCCAAGGATTTCCTTCAAAAGATGTAAGTCTAGAATGAACCTTTCTTGATCATATATTGGATTAGGTAGATTGTTATATTTTCTGATAACCTGTTACATACCACGCATTGTGCACAACCTCTTGATCCTAGTGGTTTTAGCAAGATGTGCATACATCCTATATATCCCTCCTAGACCCTACTTTTGAGTGAGATATACTGGGTTTGGAGTAGATTGATTCTTGGTGATACAAAATTATGAACCGCGGTTATTTTAGTCATTGATTATATAATCAACATAGAAAACCAATTCTTTGAGCAAGTTTTGTCCTTTTTTTTTTCTGCATGCCTATCAAAAGCCGAGGGTCTTCAGGAAATAGCTACTCTACTCTTTGGGATCAATATATGGGCTTGTTTGGTTTATATAGAAAACCAATAAATGGTGTCTTTCTCTCCTAACACTTAGTGTTTCAGTTTGGTCAACAAACATTTGACATGGCCGGGGTGGCGTTTGGTTCTCAACCCACGAGGGAATTCAGCAGGGGATCGTCACCAGAATGGTTGCACATGCAAATTGGTGGCAGCTTTGAAAGAACAACATGATATGACCATAATAAAAGAAGATGCCATGAAATCGACAAACTTTGATATCTACACGGAGCTATTCAGAGACTACTGCAAAGAAGAACTCTTGAAACTATATGTATTGCTATCTCCCATCTGTTTGTGTTTGTGTTAGAGAAGAAGATATGTACTATTCTTGCTCATACATCCCATACCCTTTTACTTGCAAACAACATATGATGAAAATTGTTTGTCCTTTAAAGCTGAAGCATAGTCTGTATTCAAACAACTAGTGGTGTATCAACAACATGATGATCAAGACTCATTTAAATAAACTTCAATCATTTTACTCCTATTAACTTGTGTTTGCTGGGCATATATATATATATATATATATATATATATATATATATAT